AAAATTGAAAACTTAGCCAGACATGACATAACAATGTTGGAGTTTATAAAAATTGTTTTATATAAATATAAACCTAGAAAAATTTGAGATTATAATGTTTATTTTTTAAAATATAATTCAAATTGATGTAAGTAAAACAAAATTTTTGACTTTTACATATGTAGCTGTGTATCAAGTGATATTTTTCTAAATAAGTGTACATATGTTTTTTTGTTGACTTAGATTGTAGATTAATCCGTATGCTATGTACTTGCAAATTAATTGTAAATGTTATAAAAAAAATATTTTTGACTCTTGCATACATATTATGTATCTGTGCATCAATGTGTGTCGTGGATGTTACATATACTAATTCTTTTTTGGTGAAGTACATTCTTGTATATTATTGCACAGTCTCGACGGTGCCCCCCATTAGCCTTAATCCGTCTATCTGCGTAACCGGGAGAGAATTTACCTATACCCTTTTTGTCACTTTGACCACTGGGAGACAACTTACCTACAGCCGTAGTAATCTATTGTTAATGAATGAATGCATGAATGAACGAATGATAACCAACAAAAAGTGGGTTTTATTTTTAATTAAAACTGAAAGGTTTACATCGTTTTTATTCGAACGTTTTTCCATCTACTTTTTAAAAGGTGGATCAGTGGCATCGCATCGGGGTTGGTTCATGGGGGTTTTGCCCCATTCGCTTTTTAATTTGTTTTTTCTGCATTTCCACACTACTACAGCACGTGATACCGTGGTTAAAATTCTTGCATATTTTTCGAAATCACCCTGTATATTCCAGTAACTGCTTGAATGTATAATCAGCGTTGTGTGTGTGTGGAGAATTACTACATTACGTACTAAAGCGGCGAGAAACTGAAGTCCACCGAAGATCTATGATCTATGTTCGGTAAAGTTTGTCCAGAATTATAAGAATTTTATGGATTCCCAACGTTAATTTGTTTCACAGCTCAGGTGTCAATTCTATTGTACAGGTAAAGAGCCTGTCAGGGGAAAGCCAATCTTTTCTGTACCTGAGTTCGCCCCGCTCTTCAGCTAAACAATAAAACTGACAACAGGGCTGTAAAACAAATTAACTTTGGGAGTCCATAAAATTCATATAATTCTGGACAATCTTTACCACAACAACGCTACTGGTGGTTGTGTAGAATCCGGTTTCTGCGTTTACCTCAGTTTCGAATTTTTTAGGCTTAACCATTGCAAGACTGTTAAAAAATGCATAAACGTGTCCGTTTAAAGTGGTCTAAAAATTGGTCAAGTTTATATATTTTTTTATTAAGAACTGCACACTAGACATTAATGTAAATATGAAGGTAAAGTTTGTCTAAGAATTCTAGAGTTAATTCGTTTTAATAATAATAATAATAATAATATATATTTTCGAACAGACACATACGTCTACAGTGGAAAGACAAAGCAGTAATACATAACAAATTAAAATAAAATAAAATAAATACAAATGAAAGAAAACATAAACTAAAGAAAATTTGTATCCTAATTAGGAATAATATGCCAGAATTGTTTGTTTTACACTTTTGTTAGTAAGCTTGACATGAAATATATCTAAGTTAACACCAAGACAATTGTATAGCCTAAAACATGTTAAGAGCGGACGGTTATAGTGATGGAAAGTGTTAGGTACATTATAATGAAAAGTTATTGGTACTCTACAACTTAGTCGTGGAACATAAAATTGTACCTCAAGTTAATAAATTAGCACACGATATTTCTCCTTTTACAATTTTTTGTAAAAATATTAAGCAACTTAAGTTACTTCTTGACAACATAGAGTATTCATTAACAATACTGAGAAGAGCACGCTGCTCACAGTGTCTAACCTGGTACGAACCAAACATCTTATAATAGGAGTATTTGCAAAATTTGCGTAAAACATTCTCTAAGAGATTTATGTAGATTTGCTGATAAGGTTTCCAAATTACACTACAGTACTCCATTTTTGATCTTACTAGCGTATAAAATAGTAACTTAATGCAGTAAATGTCAGTGAAATCATGTGTTGCCCTTATAATGAATCCCAAAGTTTTTAAAGCAGCATTGGTGATATATTCAATGTGCGAACTGAAAGTTAATTTTTGATCCATTATAACACCAAGATCACGGAATTGACAACATAGTTCAAGAACTTTACCACTGATGTTATAATAGAATTTTATAAAACTTTTCTTTCTCGTAAAACACATAGCTTTGCATTTACAACTTTACAACTTAGATGCAGTAAACATCGGCTTTCCCCTGACAGGCTCTTTAGCTGTACAATAAAATTGACGACGACGACAGGATTGTAAAACGAATTAACTTTGGGAGTAGTTCATAAAATTCTTAAAATTGTAGACAAATTTTACCCTGGACCCAAGTTTGTTAATTCGGAATATAATTTCTTTAAAGCGATATATCTTACATTTTTAAAATGCAACTTCAGAAACCGCGACGATGTTCTCTATGTACTTATTCAATATACCAGAGCAGACAAAATTATGCTGTTGTAAATCGTAAAAGATATTATAATCTGCAGAATTGAATTTCGATTTCTTAGATAAAATTTAAAGTTTTAATTTATAATAAAAGTAGTAGAAAAATAAAAATATAATAGCTAAAACACAAGCAGCATTTTCGCTCAAAGCTTATTTTTGGAGAAGTATTCATTAAATAAATATCGGAGACTACGTCATCAACTTTTTGAGAGGGCTGAATAAGTAAATTTTAAATTATTTGTTTGGATAATAATTAGTACATCATCTGTAAAATTCCATTTCACAAATTTTATTATCTCCACATATGTACAAGACAAAAAATACTCACACAATATTAAATCACACATGGGGTATTATCTCAAAATATATATTTGAAGTAAGATTTACAAATTTCGTCTATAGCCTTCATTACTCCAGTATTTCCGAAAGCATGTATCTATTTAGTAAAAATCACCAATAGAAGACACAGACATACGACAGACAAACGGAAAAGCTGATTGATATTTTTTGCTGTTGCACAAGCAGTAAAACGGTGAGAAAACATGAAGTGAACCGTTCATATAAATGACTTTATTACAACATTTCCGTACTTTACGCTCGGAAAGTAGAAAAATGTTCAAATAGTTGAGTAATCTACTTAAGTAAGTTAAATAAAGGCATACGTGGGAACTCTCGACCTTATCTCAAATTTTCATCAAAATTTTCCACACTTTAATTTAAATAACAAAGCATAATAACGTGAAATTGAGAGTGTTATTGGGATGCAAATGATCACAGCTCAGATAAATATGGTTTTGAAGATCTCCCACTTTAACTTCAAATGTATTGAATAGAACAACCTAAAATCCTTCTTCCTAAAATCAAGCAATACTGTCTCGAAATTCTTAATAATTAACACACAGTCGTCTTCTGAAACGTAAGATATGTATTAAAAGTATACCGGGTATACGCAGTCAATTGCAACGGTAATGCAACCAACATTACAACAACTCCAGGCGTTGACGGCGTCGTTTTAAAACTGAATCAGTTTAAAAAAACACCCAGTATAATATTTTATATTATATATATTTTCTACTTAACTGCGCAAGTTTCTTGTCCATGCGCTGCAAATCTGCTTAAATTAAGGAACAGTTTCTCTTTCACGGGTCGGTACCATGAAAACGCAGTTTCCGGTAATGACATTATTTTTTATTAAATTTATTTACGAAATTAATTAGTTCAGCTTGATAAAATTTTGTATGTCCAAATCGATTACAGTTACTAACATAGCCTTCTACGCCATGGTCTATTCTTTAAAATATGGTTCATCATAGAATTTTAAAATTTCGTGAATAATCAAAATTGCTTTTCAACTTTGGTTAAGTATTAAAAGACAATTCTAACTATGACAACTTGGCAACAGTTCGTTTAATTTTCAGGTATTACCAAAAAAGTATGTAATAATTGCATTTTCAAGGCAATTCAGCTGTGTATGCGTTTGTGGCGAGCAAATATACCGAGTATTCAATAAAAAAAAAGAAATTGGTGCGATTTTCTGCCCTAGCGGAAGTGATAATACGAGGGTGTGCATCAGAAAGATATTTTAAAATGATACAAATCTGCTCCATGAATTATAGGTTTATCTTTAATAATAAAAAAGTTACAGGAGTTGTATCAAATAAAAAAGACCCTGTATATTTAAAGCAGATAACCAACGAGAAAAATGTATTCTCAATAAGTACATGCTTAACTTCGACGGTTTATGTTTATACTTCGAAAGAATTCGACTATTAGCACGTTCAGATAACACGCACCAGCGGCGGCATTTGTATTTAAAAAAATGAAATTGGACTGATTTTGTCTCCTCAAACACAGAGGAGCAATATTTGGTCGCATCCACCTACCTGTCTATAACTTCTAGACAAGTTATGCAATGTTGGTTCAACTGGACCTGCAGTAATTTGACAAACCTGCTTCTCCCACTCACTATTTTTGAAATGGATTTCTGGAAACTTACAGATAATAATTAGCGAACAGGAGGTCATCCTTATTTAGAAAGCAAAAAAGGCATTTGTTTAAATTTTAACTTCTAACCATTAAAAACGGGGACGTAGAGGTCATTCTCGGTCGAATAGTCTTACAATTTGACTAATGTGCATTAAACTGACCTTCATTTCTGTCATTAAGCCAAACTACAATTACTTAAACTGTGTAGCATTTACAATTATGTTAGACACATAATTCCTACTACCAGAAGTCTTCGTGATTTGGCGCTTTTATTTTGTTATTCGGTACACCAAAAACTGGTTACAATAAAAATAGCAATTTCTGACTGATATTATTTATTATCCAAGTATAACTATTTATATTACTCTTTTAAACTTTTGTTTCTTTTTTTATTTTCAAATTTGTTCACAACACTTACTAATCTAGGAATAATGACAGCGAGCTTTTGTTGTATAAAATGTGAAAAATCTACTAATTTACATATTATATAAACAAAATAAACAAAATCCAGAAATGTAAATATTCACTTTATTAAATCTGGTCGAAAATACAACACTAAAATTAAAGCTATTTCTAACTGAATAGAAAATAATATAATTACTCCAAAATCAGTAGTCTGCGGATCAAAATATTTCAAGGCGAACATGTACACAGAGACAGTAAGTAAACAATATTCATTAAATAAACGAATCTGTTTTATTTAATGTTTTTTTTTAATAAAACAACATACATTTTAAATGAAGAATAAATATTTAATATATTTACTTACATACCTTACAAGTTTTAATTATAGAATTTTCATACATTAATTTTTAAACTTTAAGTAACACAGCGAGCAACTATATAAAAAAATAGGTGGAATACACTCCAGTTCAATTAAATAGGAGTATTACATTTCACGGCATCACAGATTTTTTCAAAATATTTGTATTACGTACATATATTGTTATAAGTTTGTTTTCTTCCTGTATTTCTTTTCTCATTTGTTTTTAATTAACAAAAACCTACAAGTTTAAATTTTTAATATAAGTATATCTGTTTCAAGTAAGATACCACGTATTGGGTCTATATTTTCTCGTTATTCTCTAATATTTTAGCAAAGACTTGGACAAACGTTAGTTGAAAAGTTCAAAGCCTACAAAAGATTCCTATCAGTCACAAATTATGTTCATCCTAGTAAAATTTATTTACGGTGAGAGATATTAAAAAACCGGTCTTATGTTAGAAATTTTCTCCACCCTGAAATATAATCAAACAAATTCAGTTTTTTAGAAAGAAAAGTGGATACCAGTCACCGTGCAAGAAAATAAAAGTGGCCCAAGAAGGGATCAAACCAGTAACCTTTACGTTATTAGGACAAGGCTCTAACTAAAATGTTGATTTTTTTGCGAAACTCTGGATGCCTAGAGTAAATTAAGACGGATTCATAAACCACAAGTACAAGAAGGATAATGTTATAAAATTTAAGTAGCAATTACCATGCAAAATTTTGTAGTGATATCATCAAATTGTAGATGGGGACGCTCAGCCAAATTTTGGAGAGCGTTCTAGGAACTACATACAAAATTTCAATTTTTATATTCAAACTTACAAATAAGTATGACTGAAGAAAGTTAGCCTATTGATTAAATTTTGGTTATACCACAAAAAAAAAGCTATAAATCTGGAAATATGCGACAAATTTGTTTTGACAAGTTTTCACTGAATTAGCCATAATTGGCAACACATAAAAGCAATCTTATGAACTAACTATACGTTAAAGACTACAGCAGTGGTATTACACTGTTTAAATATTTAATATCAGTTCATAGTAGTATTGATCTACATATTTATTTCTTTAAAATATAAGCCTATTATAAAGTATTGATTCAATCGTTTTCTACAACAACTAAGAGTTCTTAAAAACATAAAGCTTTTCTTATTGTTTTCTAAATAAACCACTGGATTTCTAAATTACAAATAGGTACAACGTCACAATTGGTACAGAGGTTTAACAAACCACCAATTATCTTTTCAAACGTCATACAAAATTGTGGAAACAAATGTTAAGTAGTTACATATTTTTCCGATTATTCTCATGTGAATGTCAAAAGTATCATGTCAAAATACTAACTTACTTAACTTAAATAAGTATAATACCGGAAATTTAATTGTATCTAACGTTATATCGTATGATACGGTTCATTAATTTAAAAAAACTATCATCACATCACATTTATTAATATCATTTTATTTGGGCTTTATCTTTTACTTCATCTTCAGAAACCACGTAACCCAGGCCTCTCATTTCCTCAATAATCTTCTTATTTTCCTTACAACTCTCTATCCAATCTCTATAATTATATTCAGGATGTATCCCTCCATATTTTTCCGGCAAATATTTTGGATCGATGTGTTTATGAAGACTCTCCATGTCCTCTCCATGGAAGAAGATCCTTTCCTTCATCGCGTCGTTCAAGAAAGGTTTAAAAATGTTGTAAACAACATCAAATATATATGATTGATTCACAATATGTAAAGCATGAATTCTCAAAGGAAAGGATGTCTAAAAAAAACAGGTAACAAAATTCTCCAACTTTATCTTACTTAAATACTCACCACCATAATTTGTACTATTTTGTGAGCGAAACTCGGCGTCAAATGCCAAACTTGCTGCATGGTAAGTCCTCCAAAATCAAAAATGCAAATTCCACCCAAAATTTGTGCCCGTTCTTCCATCAATGCCATTTCCAAAATCGCTATCGTCGCTTGAAATACCTCTTCAAGCATAATGGCCTCTGGATTCCAACCGCGCACCGTGTAGAGCATTATTCTTCTGCCACTGCCTTCTCGATAGGGTGGCACGGTAATCACTTTCTCGGCACCTGTGCATGATAGTTTGTCTAGATCTATGTTTTCGCAGAATTGTGGATTGTTTTCTTTAAAATCGTAATAGTTTACAACCTGAAAATTAGAACATGTTAGAATTTGTTTGTAGATTGGGGTTTGATCTTAAAGTGCCATTTTTTCCCAACTTATTGCAAATTTTTTAGAAGTTGGTTGAAAGCAGAAATTCAAAACAACATAAGGAGCTTCCATTGAAGCTGCAGAATTGGTAAAGAAGCCGACTTTAACAAGGTTCAAGAGAATTATTAGCATGGAATGAACATGAGAAAATCAACAAACCTAGTGATTACTAAGTATTTAAGAAACTCATAGTAGGTATGATGCTTTTGTCAAATTTATGAATTTTTCTAAACAAACCACTGGACCTCAAAGTTGGAAATTTTGCAGCAAATAAAATTCATGTTCCAGCAGTGACGGCTCGTGCCAAAAAAACGTGGGTCGGCCAAACATGAGGATAACTTTAATTAGTAAACGTTTTTTGGTTAATGAAATGTCATTGTCATTTGTTAAATCAGTTTTACGCCGTTTCGCAGATGGAGGAGCTATATCACCAATCTTAAAGTAGCAATCTCTTGAACATCAGAATATATCTTTGAAAAATAATGATCTTAATTTCGAATTCTTTTTAAAGTGGATAGAAGTGAAAGAATTCTGTCGTTACAGTAAGTTATGTCGGACAATTTATTTTGAACTATAGAAAAAACTGCCTGATCGAAATATCATCCCAGTCGTCTACATTCTCAATTATAAAATCAAAAACATTTTAATCAAAGTGGTTCTGTTATCAAATAAAGTTTTTACAGCGCGAGATTTAAAGTTCCAGCGAATTTCTGAGTTACCAGGTAATCTCTTTGTGCAAATTTTATCTAGGAGATTAGTACGTTTGGTTGACTTTGTAAAAACAGCTCTAAATCCTGATACGTTTGAGAAAAAAAATCTACATTCTTTAATATTTTTACAAGAGTTTTGCAGCACTATATTAATTTTGTGTCCATAGCAGTGCTAAAAAGTGCTTGCGCTGCAATTGATTTCACTTTTCTTTGTAATCCATTCAATTCTCTCGCCATCGCCCCAGCCCCGTAATATGTTTGACAAATTAATTTTTTTTTCAATGTTAAAATGGGAAAAACTATTCATTAACACACTGAAAATATCGTGTGCAGTTCATCCTTCACTAACATTCAAGAAACAGAGAAATCGTTCTAATAATTTACCATTGGGAACAAATCGAAAAATGACACATTTGTAAAACACAACTGATATCTGGAGTCTCACCTATTTACCACGAAAAACACGTAGCAACATTAATTTCTTTATGAATTACTTGACTTACAATTTTGGAAATTGAATCAATTAGATCACTTTGAATTGTTTTCGATAACCCGGTGAAAACAGAAGAAGAATCAATGAATTTGTTGAAATTTGACATTAGATTGTCGCAGCAAATTTTGCTAACTCCTTAAAGTTGCCTTGACTATCGGAACCACTTGTTCCATCGTTACCTCGAAATGCCATTTCTTGTGTTGACAGAAAAATAATCATATTTATTAAATGCTTTACCATAATTCTGTTTTCTCGAACAGTTTCACTGTATTTATTTATATATGTATTCGTGTCTGGCACTATCCAACGAATTTGCGATATTGTGTTTTCCGAACAATTTAAATTTTAGAGTCAAATGAATATGCTCCTTTGAAATTTTGCGTTTGGTCAGTGCACGATGAACTTCTTTTAAATTATCATAACTACTAGAATTATAAGGGTTCTTGGATTCCGAAAATAATAGACAATACCAGCAAAATAATTTGTTACGTGTTTCGCTGCCAGCTAACTAAGGATATTTACAGTAGAGTGTTTTAGAAAATGCACGATTATGACCAGGCTTCGTTTGAATGAAATTGATCATTAACGTTGCTTCACAAAAACTTTATGGCCATAAGTTAATTCTTTAAATTTATGTATTAATAAATAATTAACCAAGTCGCCATTCGTGTCAACTATATTGCGAAAAGTGTCCATCGTGAGTTTTTATACGAATTAATATAAGTATATTTAATTATTTACTAATTCAACAAAGCGCTTCGTGCAACGTGCAACCAACACTGGTCAAAAATATTCATCGTTCGTTCATCTTCGGTTTACTAATCGTCCAAGTACGTTGGATTGCTACAACCGAGCCGGCCGGCCGACCGCGGGTGGAAACTATACGGGAATTCACGGGCTATTTTATGTAAAATATTTTTTATTACAGGAGATGAATACAATTTCAACACTCTACAGTTAGGAATATACCGTATTAAGATATATGTGACCAACTGATTGATAAAAAGATTGCAGTACTTATTGTTTGAATCATCCAATTTTACCCAACTAAATTACATTATTAACGACTTTCTTAAATTTTGAAACTATATGCTTGACATGCATAATTCTTTAATCAGTTCTTAATAATTTATAATTCACAATCCTGTATTTACATTAAGGTATTAATTAAGGATAATGAAAAACTGTAAATATGGAAATGAATAAAATAAAAGAGCGATAAGTAGAAACGAGCGCGCCGCATCCAAAGTGTCGTCTGCGTCTGCGGCAAAATCGGCCAGAGCGCCATGGGCCGATGTTGTGTGTTTCAATCTACGCAAGAATTGTAACTTAACGCAGCCATATACCGATCGGAAAGCAAAAGCCGTAGCTCGTAGATTACTGTTGGTAATTTTTCAACGCATCGGCCGGCCGGGCCCGTGTCTATATAGGCATTTGACATAATAAAATAATTTCTCTCCGGGATGAATTTAAAACATTAAACTGTGTCTTCATTATTAGAAATTAATAGTAATTATTTTTATTTATTTATGTTTATTATTTTTTTAATTTTTATAAATTATAGTACATTTTACCATATCAGTTTTTCAAAAATGCTAATAAAAAATTTGGATTTTGAAAAAAAAATTCTTTTCTTATTTCTCAAATTATTTGGTACGGCCTGGCCGACCCTGCCGTCCCTGACGAGCCGTCACTGTGTTCCAGTGCACTTATTTTAAAGTTGAAGGGACTTGGAAGATTTTGAAGATATTTAGAAGATGCGATTCAGGTTCACACAAGAGGAAACCGCGTAATCCAGCTACCAACGAATTTACTGATCAAAGATAATACTAATAATATAGGGCTTTTATAAATGATTCTACTCTCTCTCACTTGTCACATTAATGTCTAATGGCATTTGTAATCTGTCATTTAAAGTCGTCGTTTTTATTGTTTCAGTGTTTTTCAAGTGCGAATTACAGTAATTCTCGTTGATCCAAGCTCAAAACAACAAAACAGTCATTTTCAGAACTCTTGGTGGTTGTGTACGAAAATTTTGTTTTTGTGCTAGGTAGCGAAGACTGTGAAAATGGTTTATTCTGTTGAACAAGACACTTTCATCGTTATGGCTTGTTATCGCAATGAGACTTCGTAAACGAAGAGTGCGTGTATTCTGTAACCGCTTGTAAGCAAGTATATCGGGCCAAATACCGTGATTTAACACTTAATTCAAACTTAATCGTTAAAAGCCCACATTAGAGATTTAATCAACAGATTTGTTCGACAAAGAGAAATCTCGTGGAAGCCTTCATCTGAGGAAATTGTTGATGATTTAAGACGACTTGAGCAGAATTGAACAATTGAACAACGGGTCCAAAGTATTGATGAAAGGATGTTACAGAACATTTTTGAAATTAAAAAGAAATTGAACATGTGTCTTGAACAGAATGATGAACATTTTCAACATTTACTGTGATGTTTAACAGCAATAAATTTGTTTCTTTTTATCGTACCTAATGAATTAATTTTATTTTTTAAAAACATATGAAGCGTTTAGGCAACCAGTTATACACATGTGTGTGGTCCATGTGTGATCTTTGTCATGCGTCCTTGATCTCCGTACAGTTAAATCTGAGAGGCGGCACGTTTACATGACTTACTGCAATCATTTATAGAAACCCTTTATAACAGACCTTTATGGTTCTAATAAGAAATGCACAAACTGATTTACAAATAGTAACTGGAGATCAGAAGTAAGTAACTGTGAAAAATTAAATACGTCTGAATGTATAGTGTTCCAGATCCTCTAAGGTTATATGGCTGTTGTAAAATTAGAGTATTGTGAAGTCGACAATGAAGCAGTTAATAAGGCAAACCGAAACCACAATTGTAAATCTTTTTGATTGTATCTGGTCATCCATTTCATTCATATTGGGACAAATGATGAGCAGACAAATTTTGGTAAGCATTTTATCACCTACACAATATTCCTAATATACATACATTTGGTAAAAATCGATCCTATCTAATAAAAATCGACACAGACGCGAACAGACGGCAGATGACAGACCGAGGGAAAAAAGACCTATATTTTCATTTTCTAGGAGTCATGAAACATTAAGAAAACATAAAAGTACCTACTTTAATTAAAATGTACGAATAATAATTTCCGATATATAAGTACTTTTTATAATTTTACTAAGCATTGTAAAAAAAATGTACTTACAAGTCTGTGGGCCCTTTCTATCGTAAAAAACCTGGCTCGAAGAAATCGTAGTAGGAAGGCGTCATCTGACCGGTGGGGAGTACATTCTCCACGTGCTGCAAGGATAGATTGTATGAGTGTAGCCAAAGTTGAAAACCAAATATAACATATATACACAAACCTCATTTGACATACACCTGTTAAAACTTACTTAAGCGGCTTAAGCCAAAGCACCTTTGTAAGTCAAACTGGCTATTGTAAGTTTTGTGGACCCGAACCGCAAGGTTATTACTGGCATAATGTAGCTGTGAACTGAGTTAAGTAATACAATAGCCAGTTTGACTTACAAGGGTGGTTTGACTTAAGCCGCTTAAGTCATAAAAGTTTTAACAGGTGTATGTCAAATGAGGTTACTTTAATATCCTATACTCGTATGTTAATAATAATAAAGAACGTTATTTATTACGAGACGAAGTCTAGGCTAAGCTACTCATGTTAACTTTTGTATCAACAGTGTATATATGTATAATGAACCTAAATAAAGTGAACTAACATTAATACATATATGATATCTACGAGTATCACTACACATAAAGAAATTAGTCCAATAGTGTTATAGCTTAATTTTGACATTAATTCGTAGGTTGCAAGAACAAATAACATAAATGCTGTAACACACCAAAATATTGTTATTGAAAAAGGAATGAAGCATCGATTAAAAAAATGTAAGATCTCTGATAATTTATGATTGAAATTCAACCCTGCATAAATTGGTGGAAATACAATGTAATCAAGGTTACAAACTTTTTGTAAATATTTTCTGAATTTTTTTCTTTCCAATGTTGTATTTTCACATAAACTTTTAATAACTGCTAAGCTCGTATTTATAAAAAATCAAGAACTCCTGAAAACATTGTGCTAGTTCATTGTAGTTTGTAGTGCACCTGGTATACCTGTACAGGATTATTCACGAGAACCTCCGCGCTAAAAAACTTAAGATACAACCAGAAATACATTTTCAAAACCGTGTTTGATATTATTTTCATAATATCATTTAAAAAAATAATAGTAATAAAAGACAGTTACCTGTGTTGTAACAATATTACCGTAATGGCAGATATTAACATGTTAAAAATTCCGGCAGTGACCTGATTTTGATATATGGCGAGAGCTCTTGTTTTGATTTTGTTTGTTTTTGCGTCTAAGCTAAAAATTGACGTCTATTTTCAAATTATCAAAATCAAACAGTTGTTTATATTTCATTAAAAAAAAAATGGTAAATATAAATATGTATTAAATATTAGAATCATGTACTTGTATTGTTGGTTGCGTTTTGAAGCGTGGACTTTCTCGTGTGAAACACAATGTAAAATAAAAATTATGTTATTAAGTTAGTTTTTTTATTGAGTACCCCTTAAATTATAAAAATATAAAAATTCTGTTCCTGACATAATTTTAATTCGAGCAACATTAAAAGAATATTGCGAAACTAGATCGATGATACTTTTGCAAAAATACTCCATCATATTTTTAATATTTAAAATCTGGTAGTCATTTTTTCAACAGCAAATTGTACAAATTGACTTGAAAATACTAATTTTCTTTTTTAAGTTACACCTTATCTGTTTTCAAATGAACAAAAATTTGTATTCTATAGATAATAAAATTGATTTATTATTCCGGTATAAATTTATGGGAATATAATCCCACCAAGTTTTTTTTTTTTTTGTTTTTGAGAGGATAGTATGGTGTACTTTCCGTTAAAAACTACTATTAGATCGACAAGCCGCTATTTAGAAAGAACTATTAACTTCTCGTATCGAAGTTTGTTATAAACCTGTATTGTTGGTTGCGTTTTGAAGCGAGGCGTAACTTGTATTTGGTTGTAAGTACAAATCGGAGAACACGGAACACGAAGTAAAATTGTATCCTTGACCCTAATTTTTTATTATGTATTTTTAAAAAAAGCGCAAAACTTAGATTACAAAAATACAAAAACTCTGTTGCTGACATAACTTTATTTTAAGAAACAATAAAAGAATATTGGGAAACAAGGAAGATGATACTTTTGCAAATATATTTCACAGAAAAAATGTTTTAATATCCAAAACGTGTTAAACATTTGTTTCAATTGTACTTAATTGTACAAATGAGAAAAACTTACTTCAAAATAATTTTCTTTTTTAAACAGTTTTGGAGGCTTCACGGTCGCCATCAATACATGATCGTTTTGAGAGAGATGCCACTTACGAAAGTGTGCGAAACGTTGAGCCCAAAAACTCAATTTACACGGTTCCAACCCGTTTCTTTTTTAAGTTATATTTCATCTGCTTTGAAATATACAAAAATTTATAGATCTATAGATAACAAAAAATTCGAAATTGTTGGGTCCGTATCTAAAAATCTGTATCTAAAAAAACTCTGTAACCAAGATTTTTCCACACTCGGCACCATATCCGGTGATTTAAAACAGGATGGGATCCACATGCATATCGATTCGGATCGGACCGGAATATGGATTTAAAAAGTTTATTTTATTGTTATTATATGATTGTGTAACTTTATCCATTAAGTGAATCAAACAATTAATTTCCTAGTTTTATATGCGACTGTACATACAAGATCAGTGGGGGTAGTAAGTGAGTTCGACTTAATTTGAACTTGAAGGTGAGGGTTAAAACAGATGTACCCAAATTATTTTATTAGTACATGACAGTAATTTTTCTACTTTAATTAAGTGTCAAATATTTGGACAAGGTTAAATTCTGAAAAAGGTAGATTTTAATATTGTTTTTTGTATTTCGGGACACGTGGACATAAAAAGAAGAAGAAGAGATGTCATCTACGTCAACAGTTTCGCAGTTTATTTACCTCTTTTTCAAGACGTTCAAATATACGAAATATTCTTGAGGCGAACCATTTGCGTCTTAACTTAAAAATGATGACATGTGAGAAATGATACCAATTTTTAAGTTAAGACGCAAATGGTTCGCCTCAAGAATATTTCGTATATTTGAACGTTTTGAAAAAGCGGTAAATTAACTGCGAAACTGTTGACGTTGTTCTTTTTACGTCCACGTGTCCCGAAATACAAAAAATAATATAATGAATAATGGACGAGAATAAAACTATTAGTAGATTTTAATGCTTTTTTTCCACTTTTTGTTGTGTAGCATTATACATACTTATTTGACTTAAGTAGTGGTGATCAGCTCTTTCTATACGATTTGAAATTAATTTCGATAAATGCAATGTAATCTAATAATCTATGGGTCCCAAAAGGTGTTGAAAGCGTTAATAGCATCTCGCCTGTTGAGAGCAATAATTGACTCTGATCTACGATCCGAAGTAACGCGTTTAGCGCCAACTGGGTATGAAACATAATATTCGGCAGACAGAGGCGGAGACTAAAAGTTGTCAAGGTGAACAAATGCCAATGCTCTATTGTTCTGAATATATACTTTGGTCATCCATTGTGACCTCGTCCCTCCAGCTAATACGGCGGTTCACCATTTGGATCGAATACGCGAATTGACAACCACCGACTATCAGATATTTAATAAACAAACGTGGTATTTTAATCAGGACAAGTTTTTTCATCAGTTCAGCTAATGGCATAATATAATGTGATTTTAACATACACGTATTACTTTACCATGAAAATAACCAAGGTTAAAATTGATCCATGTTTCGTTCTGAAGATTTCAAAAATGATAAACGTATTTTTCCAGAGATGGACACTATTATCGTGACTGAAGTATATAAAAGGCATTCCGTTAAGACAAATGATTTAAAAAGGGGGTCACTGAGACATAATGGACTTTAATTGATGTAGGTAGATGTGATTGAACTGTAACTTCTTATGGAAAATTCAAACATAAAATGATACAGTCATAATTCATAATCCTTGAAGCGTGAAGAAGTCTAGTGTGTGTCTATACGCAACTGTTTCAGAGTCTAGTTTTATGTTAATTTTCATTTGATTTATGCGATTCACTTTTCCTTGAATAAGTAATGCATTCGCTGAATCTTTGGCCAAACGAGTGAGTCATATGGCTAGTAGGTATATGATTTCTAGTAATAGTAGTAGCACTGTCGCTAAATTTAATTAAATCGTCATCAATTCAAAATAAACACACCAAAAACAAAAAATGGGGACACGTTTTTTCATGAATTCGATTAATGACAGAATATAAGGTGATTTTAGCATACACGTGCTTCTTTTTTTCACAGCGAATGTCATTTCCCTATTATATAAATAATAATAGAAAATTTATAATTTGCGTTACGCAATCCTAGTGGCAACGTTTGTAAATAGTTCGGGTCAATGTCAACCCCTGAGCCATATTGTATTGACAGACACGCAACTTTAAAACATGCAAAAACTGCACTAATTTGAAACTTTAAGGTTGTTTCCAACAATGTGATTTCAGTTGATCTTAAAAAATCGCTTATTTCTAACCTAATCATTTTAGTCCACTCTTTGGACAACTCTGTATAGCTCACGAAGAAAGTGAAGTGTAAAAAAAATGACTTATATTCCCATTAGTTTTTAAACTAAACGTTATTGTGAAATCCTTTGAGAGTGAAAAACTTGGCATTATTTGAACGTTCTCGATTTCAAAACTTTAATTTTCTACCTTTTCTATGTTGAAATAATCACATATCTTCAATTTAGTCTAAATATGTTTTGCTTCATTCTAAAAGTTCGCATAACCTGCGAATCTGAATTTGTAGAACTTCCTATTGTAATGCAGATTTAAAAGTTATATCTCCTGTATAAAACAGTATTCTTTGAGTTTAGAATTGTGTTTCTGTTAATCGTTTTAAAAATTTAGCACTCATCTACTGCATAAGCGATTATTTTCTTGTTGAAGAAGGAAAAAAATATGCGTCGCACGCAATTTTTTTAAACGGTGTTTATTACAGGTTGCACGAGAACTTGCAGTCAGGTGTTTTACATCATACAATTTATTAGTAGGTTTTTACACCATAGTTCTGTCGTTTTCTAAGTATTGTGTTATCTAACTCTTCGATATTTCTTCGGTTTAAACCTAATTTCCGCCTACTATTTATTTCAAATTCCGATAAGAGTATCTTATAAAATGAAATCAACTAACAGCCAATAAGGAAGGAGTATTTTCAAAATGTCAGAATGTACGTGCGACAGAACAAATTTACGCAATTTAAAATTATTCGTATTTTTACAAAAAACAAAACAGCCTAAAGCTCGTTCCTTAGTGTAAACTACGAAAAAAGAAACTCACCATATATCATATCCCTAAGGTCAGATATCATTTGACACCTGGTATCTGGATTTTCATGGATGTTTTCCTTCGCCCATTGTATTACTTCTTCTGGTGGTTCTCCTAAATCTAAATGGGGGTCTACTTCGTTGTTGGTCGACATTTCCTGCAAAACAAACTAGTTTAACTGCGAGTTGTTTTATTTTTAAACACAGTAACTGCGCTGTTTCCTCGTTTGTGTAAATAATTTTTATCAACGATTGATTCAGGAAATCTAATCTGTCCACTCAGATAAGTCATAACAAAACTCTTTATATTCATGAGTTGAATAACAAAAGTAACCAATTTCTTGTAGCCATGTAATTAATTTAAGAATTAAATTACTGAAAACAACAGCGATAAAATCGCCCACCAATACGTCCCTTTTTCCGACTGTAATAAATACCTTTAGCTTTCTCTGTAATTGTTTGATTTTTCATTTCTTCCACAATTATGGTAATTGTATTTTTCTGCTATGAAGTCTATTAATAAATTTCCACTAGAGCTAATTAATTAATTCAATTTTGTTTCCTTGACTATGTTTACAACAAAAATATCTGAAATGAGCTTCAGTTTGTAGAGTGAAATAAAATTAAGTAAATAAGAGGTAATAAGTAACTGTTTATAAACGCAGCGACGACGTTTTTTTAACTAGTGGAAAGTTATGTTGACATTTTATTGCTCATTATCATTACAAATTTATCAAATATAATTCATAGCACATTAGTGTCTGTGTAATACCGAAAAATATCGACACACTGTCGACAGGTTTCAATTTTTTTCACTGTTATCACCTAATTGATTTCTACATCAAATACATATAGTTACTGTAAATAACATCAAAATTAAAGATGTACAGCTTGTCTGACAATTTATATAAAAATATTAAAGCAAAACCTGTCGAACAAGATAATCTTAAATGATTTGGTGTACGACCTTAACAAACTTTGTGATGACTGCGTTCATGGCCGAGTGTGGGTACAGGTGCTTTCCTTAATTATTATTAGACGAATGCAATAAACATAGTAATTCATTTAAATTATTTAGGTTATTTATTCATACGTTTTAAAAATTCTTTTTTTCTTTTATCCTTACACCCTGAATTTAAAATTTCCATTAGCCATAGTTTTCCTTTTATTTCTAATTCTTCCATCATTATTGGTTCAATCTGGTCACTCCGCATGCTTTTCCTGTTTTGATTTCGGCAATACCAATTTCTAGTTCCGCTGTTGCAAATTCTTCTGTTTGTTCTGTGTTGTAACTCTCTTCGGGGCATTTCGATTCCTCTGCTCTCTCTTTCTTTTTTTTTCTTGACCCTTTTCGCTTATTTCCTCTGAGTTTTGCATTAATCTCCGGAACTGCTTGCTATTTGGACTTCTTTTTCGCGTATTTTATTTTTTGTTTGGTTTTGCTGGATTTTGTTCGAAGCTTCTTTTACTTATTTTCTTGTTTCACTTTATCATTAGTATATTTTCTGTCTTTTTTGATTTAGCATATTTCTGATTGTCTCATTGAAGGTTCTTCATTTCTCTTCTAAAGTCCATTCTGTTTTTCTCTTTTCTTGTTCTTCTAGTTATTTGTCCGCTTCTGTGATAGGTATATTTACACGTTGTCCATTAATGCTTTTACTAACTGGTGTTGTGCTGTTATTTCCGTAATATAGTCTATTATACTTTTGGTACCTCGTTTTTCTTCTATAGAAGTGTATTTCTCGTCCAGTTGTTGGTATCATTAAGAGTTACCGAGTATAAGGTTTTTGCTATACGACATTCTATCATCTTCTTTTTATTTCGATTCATAGTTTATTTTCCGAATGGCCCCATATTACCTAATCCTTTGCCTCTATCTTTCCCAATCCTTACATTCCAGTCAATTATAACTATTTTATCATTGTCTTCTCTGATTTTATCGATTGTTGTTTACAGTTGTTCATAAAAATTCGACGACTTTTCTTTTTGCATGGCTTCAACCGGTGCATCTTTCTGTGGTAATAATTCTGCCAATACCTTCCTTTTTTCTCTTTGCAAGTGTTACTTCAATGATGATGCGTACCCTCTTGCGTCTTTCATGTAGTCTCCTAAAGTTTTTCTTTCTTCAAGAATTCACTTTGAGTACTCTTCGTTAATGAAGATTGTTGTTCTTTTCAGGTTCTTGGATGCTCTTGGCATTTCTCTTCACAAGTTTCCTAATCTTAATTCCACTGTCTGTGGTCTTGACGTATTCGTTTCATTGGGTCTATCTCTTCCGATTCTTCTTATTTCAATGATGTCCTCTTCTAAAAGAATCTTAGTTTCAAGTTTCTCTATCTATTTTATTTTCGACTCTTTTACTTCAAGAGTTCTTTTCTTTTGGATCTCTCATCCATATTATCTAATTTCTTCTTTACTTTCTTTAGCTGTTCTTCCATCGAAGTTGTTTCATCGATCGTGTGTACCCTGACATCGCTTTTTTAAAATTGTGAACTTAGGTACAATTTATTATATTTACTGCTTGTCCTTAATGCGATTCTATCGATTGTTGCTAGCTAGAGAAGTCTTTTAAAAACAATTAAACAAATTGTTACTTATTCTTCAATAATGTATTGTTATTTTTTAGAACTATTTACTTAAATTAATTAGACACAACTTTCTTTGCACCTAAGTACAATAAAACATTATTGATTCCCCGAATTTGATTTTTTATGACAACCCCCATAAATTAAAACAAAAATATGCCTGGAATGTTAAAGTTGTTTCAAATGAGTTTTTCCTTTACAAAATTTTGTAACGACGTCATCAAGGATACGTATATTAATTTGGATAGGTGCAATGTAATACTAACAGTAATGTATCGTATTCCCAAATTTTCGTGAAAATGGAGAGTGAGCCGTTAATTTTTTTGAGTAACCCTGTATAATTCTAAACTAGAAAATTTGGATATGTAGGAGAAAAACTCAAAGCGGATTCGTACACCACCTGTGTAGGAGTATATTACTGTATGACAGTTAAATTATTTTAATATAATAGCATTTTTTGAGATGACGTGTTACTGGGGATGATTGACCGAATTTTAGTTAGCGATTTACCATCTAGATGATATTCTTAATATAGGTATAATATTTGACAACAATCGGTCCAGTAGTTTGGTAGATATGTCTACACAGACGACAGACGACAGACGACAGACAGACAGACAGACGGAAACGGGAGACCACTTTTTTCGTACTCTATAGATCTTGAGGCGTCGAAAAACATGAAAGTAACCCCTCTGCCGATAGACTTGATTAATGCTAATAGCAAAACTGGATGAAGCAGTTTTGATTTTTAAACATCCTGTTTAAAAATTAAAAACAAATAAAACTATGTTACTGAAGCGCAACCAATAAATAAATTTTAACCGTTGTTCTGTAAGCATTAAATCAGTATTTGTATTTTTTGGCAATATTTCAGTTCATTCCATGGATTCTAGGACGATTGTATGATAATCTGTATACGTATCGTTAAAAATACGAAAAAAATATTGAGATGACGTCATCAAATTTTTCAAAGGGATGAAGAGATGAATTTCATCAAGTTCATGACAACCTTAAAGCGTATACATACAAAATATCAGACAATCGGTTGTGTAGTTTCTGAGTACTTGCTTAAAATTCCAAAATTTGGCTTTAAAGTCTTGAATTGTTTCCAGAAACCTGCATGTATTAGGTCAGCAGGAGACAATTAATAGATTACAGTTTAATACACATTGACAAAAATTTTAGATAACTTCATCAAATTTTTGATGTGGATGATTAGAGAAATTTTGGTTAAAGCTTCACAATCTACAGGACGTTCTTAAATCTTCTATTATTAAATCCGCCAACATACAACAAATAAGAGGCAGACCTAGTGTTTTCAGATTCTAGGAGCTAGTAAAATAAATATAAAATAAACATAAAAATTAAAATATTAGTTTGAAATAAAGAATTTTAACGACAACTTTTTTGAAACATAAAACTGGACACAACAAAAACGAAGCCGGTTTTAATATTTCGTGCCATAAATATAGTTGTATAACTCAGAACATTTTCGTTAAAACCTTCACATTAGTTTTCTCAAGTTTTCTCAACTAAGAAAAGAAACTTGCATTTTAACATTGTGTTTTTATTTCACGCTTTTCTTTGTGCATGCAATTCGTTTTTTTCCACGGAAAAAAACAAGAAAGTACTTGCAGACTAGAATTAACGATAACACAGGTCTTTGACAGGAATGGCCTTTTGCTATATAATTATTCACGCTTCAGTTAATGCCATTACCTTGTCATCCAAAAATGTTAACGCACTAAATTATAGGTAGCTACACACAACTATTTGTTAAATAATTTCAAGCTATCACTAAAAACACTACAATATATATGATAAGGAAAATATTACTATTTTAGTATTACTTTAAGGTGTAGTAACGAGAGTAGACTCAAATACTGATCTGTAATCCTTATACATTATGCCCGCAATTTTTGTGTTAAGCTAAAAAATGTATACATTTAAAAATGTTACCTTATGATATTTTCATTGCTAGTTCCATGAACTTATTCATAAATATGCTAATTTTACTCTACTTCAGACTAATGCTTAATGAATTTGTAGAGCGTATTGATTGTTACGGCAGTTGCATTCCTAGTAAAAATTGAAAACAAATATATATTATCATGATAATTATAATTGTTTGAACTGAGTTGGAATAATTACAGCTACAGTGTAATTTTTAATTTCTGACCATCAGTTAAGGAAGTATTGTAATAGGGCCATTTTAACAAATGTCAGTTTTATGTTTCCTGTTTTCTCCTAAACTACTGGTCCATTACTGTGGATTTTGTTTGTGTACTACCAGACTGTCGTATAGACGGTTAAAAGCTAGTCTAAATTTACCACCAATGTACAGAATTTTGGAAAAAAAATCAAAATTGTACTCCAAATTTATTAACTTTGCTGCTATTTGTTTTGTATTATTAAACTTTTCTCATAATGTAACATTATTATGTAATTTTAGTCAACATACAATGATGTCACAAGACTTTAAATGATCAGCTATTCTGAAAAACAGCACTATTTGATTGACACACAGAAAACAAATTTTATTAAAACAGGAAGTTCAATTTAAACATAAAAAT